TTCTGCCTGTTTGCGTGTGCCTGTGTTTGTGTGGAAGAGAAAAGGCGGGGGGGGAGGAAGAGAATGAAAGTGATAAATTGAGAAGAGTCAGTCCTCCCCCGCTGTTCTCACTTCGCAGACTTGTGATAAGGTTTATCTCCGGAGCCTAACGAGTTCGCCCTGTAGCCCTCTCAAGCTCCCACTGAGTGGACCTCGACATACAGAACTGCAAGCAGCTAGCAGTGGACTTAGCTCCCTTAGGTGACCTGTGTGTGTGTGCTGTTCCTGCTTTGCTTCAGAACTAAATTTTTGCAGGAAATGGCTTCGGCCCCTTCGGCCACATCTCTTTTAATCTGGGATTTCTTTTATGCTTCCTTTTCTTCATCCTTTCTTCTCACTGTAACTCAGACTGCCAAGAGAAGCTGCAAGAGCTGGAGAAAGAGCTGTGGAGTTTTGGCACACAGAGGCATGTGTGTGTCTCAGAGGCAATGGCTGAGGCAAAGATGGAGACACGGAGAGAGAGAGGGGACTGCTGCTGAGTTAAGCCCCTAATCACACTCTGCTCTGCATGAAGGACTTAAAGTCACTCCATTTAATTCTACCTTCTCTTTAGTCAGAAAAGAGAAAGAAAAAACGCCTACCTCTTCAGCTTTCTGATACCTAGACTTCATTCCTTTGACATGGACATTCTGTTTGTGTATGAAATAGCAAAGCTACAAAGAGCACTGACTCAAATATGGTTTAAACTGTGTGTTCCTTGTCAACGTGAAGTTTTTGTCCGTAGCACATTTAAAATCAACAGTGTTGACCAAAGTCTTTCACAAAGACTAAAAATAGCCAAAGTTCAAAGGACTAAACTCAAAAATCAACGAGGACAATAAAAAGGATAAAACGCTGAAGTATAGAACACCATAATCTAACACGACTAATGGAACTCAAACTGATCTCGAATTGACAGCCAATTAAAGAAAAAGTTTTCAGGAGAGATTTAAAAGACTGTACAGACACTGCAGCATGAATATCAAGAGGCAACTTGTTCCAGAGTCTGGTGGTTGCAACTGCAAAAGCTTGATCCCCACTGTGCTTTAATTTGGCCATCGGCTACACTAACAGCGCCTGGCTAGAAGATCTAAAAACTATTTTTGACTGTAAAAGATAAGGAGAACAGTTAAATAATTAGGTTGCAAACCATAAAAAATTTAAGAAGTGAGTAAAAGAATCTTAAAATCAATACGGCAATGAAAAGGCAGCCAGTGTAGATCTGCTAAGGCTGGATTTGGCCATTCTTTCTGGTACCTGTTAAAAGACAAGCAGCAGAACGGTACACTAACCGCAGACGATAGCCGTTTGCCACACAAAAAAGGAATAAGCAGCACAAAAGTACCAAGATGCATTAAACTGTTTTTACTTTTTAATTTGCCAAGCTCTTCAGTGGTATGCTCAGGTGCTTCATTTATTTACTATTAGAGCTGGGAATTTAAGAAGATCATCAGAGGCTGCAATGTCCCCCTGGCTTGAAAGATATTAATTGATTTGGCTCTGCACTCAGTCACATGTAACAGCCTTTTGGCAGAACTTCTGGATGCCAGAATCTGGTGGGAAAACCCTCTCTACCATGTCAAAACTTGACTTTTTGCTCTTCCAGCTGTTGTTTCACCTGACTTTGCTCAGTCCTCCATATGGCTAGCAGAGTACAGGTTAATGCATAGGTCTTAATCAAATGATGGGACATTGATTAACACATCGGGGTTCAACTGCCATTGAGATAATTGCATTATCACTTTATAGCATCCTCCCCAGTAGACATGGTAATTCAACTTCCCCTTTGAAGCCCCATGTCTACAAAAGAGGTCCAAATATTCTCTTTTAGCTCTAAAAAAATATATTTAAAACTAACTTTACTGACTCCTAAAACCCTTTAAGTATATACCTTGCTTGCTCTGACCATTTAATCTGTTGGAAGATTTTCTGTCTTAACAGCTTGTATTGATCAAAATTCGTCAGGTAGCAACTTGAAGAAATGTTCTTGTGTAACCTTGTAACTCCAACAGTCTATGCATTTTTGAGTGAGACCATCAGTGAGATGGTGCATTTTAGTGGGCTTTGATTGCATTCAATAGGAAGTGAGTGTGTAAAATGGCACTCTATAATCTCTTTTGATGCAATCTCTCACTATAAGAAAAAGAAATCTGTCATAACTGTGGACTAATGGCGTGTTCAGAAGTAGAGTTCATGTCAGTGAAAGTCAAATTGCTTTGACAGATTTATCCAATGTAATCCAATTTCAGGCTCTTTGCCTCATAAACACTGACAGTTTAGAAATACCAGGGAATGAAAACATGCACAGCTACAACACATTTAAACATCTAAGAAACAAGCGGTGATTTGAAATCATTATTTCAATTCATAAACGCAGCAAAATAATCCAGGTGAGAGCTTAATTTGGTTTATCTTTTGTTACATAGATTTATTGGTATCATTGCTGCTCACTGCATTGCATTGCTGGTTTCCCGGTTAGAGGATTAAATTAGTCTTCTAATCTTTTAGTCATCCAGAACATGCAAATTGGTTTTCCTTCATAAAAATATAATAGATTTGTTAGGAAAGTAGAGAGATATTGCCAATGTGTGTATTCTAACAGCATGTGGACATACAACAAAAATAACAAAATTGTGAACTCATCAAGTTATAGAAGAGAAGGAATATAGTAACAGCTGTTTTGTAAGGAGATGCCACATGCAAACACAATATGTGTATGTAGCAGAACATATAATACTAAGAATAATATTTTTTTTTTCCAGTGGTCCTAATCCTCTTTATTATACAGAGTGGCTAAAATCATAAAATAAATCTCCATTAAATTACAGCTGTGTGAACACATGCAAGGTTGGTGTCAAAAATCAGAGGGCAATAGGCAGACTAGTTAAAGATAACTGAACCGCAAAAGGATCTCAACTTATTGCAGTGAAGGTATGCAAAATACATTCTCTGAAAGCAATGCATCAAACCTTGAAGTAGACAGGCTACATCAGGAAGAGACCACCCAATCTGTCACTCTCAATATCTGACGACAGGGAAAAAAGGCTAAATTTCACACATGCTCACCAAAATTTGGATTGCAACAAACTGGAAAAGGTTTCCTGGTCAAATGATTCTTCATTTCAGCTGTAATCTTCAAATTGCAGGGTCAGAATTTAATGGAAACTGCATTAGAGCTGGGAGTATTGATCTAAATATTGACACCATCGACACCAAGGTGAGAACTGGTATTGATCTGATACTAGTGTGATGAGACTGAATGCAGTTTCTCCCCCATATGTCCAGTAAATTACTGGAATTTACTCACATAGTTCATGCCAGCACATATGCAGGAATGACAATACCACATATCCAGAGTTTACACTTTTAATTTAAAAGCAGAATTTTATATCTTTTTAATGTATTAATATGGCAGAATGTGATTATGCATTTGTGCTGAATAAAGAGGAGAAAATAGTATTCCTATTTAGGTGACAAGCAGATTACAGTCAAAGACTTCAGTAAAAAGGTCATTATTTTATTTATTTTCTGCTACATTGTGTAATATTACAGTTGGTTAATAATAAAAAACAAACAGACACAAATTTTACTACAATCTTTGCCCTGTATTTTATCATAATCAGATAACTGAAGTCAAGTCACCAAATTATGCAATGATAATTACATTTCAAGAAAAAAAAAAAAAAAACACTTGTGTCAGAATTGTTATTAGTGATGCTAGCCCCTGTATTTACACGCTTTGATACCTCCTGCCTTGTAAAGGTTTGCACTGATGGCTGTGTCCTGCTGGGTCATGCACTCTTGTACATGCCATGTACCCCAGTGGCCTCTGCAGGAATCACATCTCAGCCAATAGAGCTTTGGGTTGTGGTGAAATGAAAGATTGTTATAATCAGTGTGAAGTTGACAAATCTACAGCAAATGTGATAATAGCTAATGATGTCTGAGCTGAACTGAAATGTATGATGGTTCCACAAAAATATGCACTGAATTTTGAGTGTATGCCACAAAGAACTGCGCCAAACTCAGTCCTAGGAACTTGTAATTATATATATCTTTTTTTTTCTGAAGCAAAATTTACCAAAATAAACTCACACTCGCCCCATCTTAATTTTAGCTGTTGAACTAACCTTGATTAAATTTAAATGCGTACTTTCACAATTTCCAGATTACAATTAGCAGGCTCCCAGCATGCAATGATTAAATAAACAGTGGCTTAAATCTACACAGCCTGAAATAAAGTCTAAAAAAATCCACCACCTGAGATCTAAAGAGCTTCAGGCTTCCAGTGGGTGGCTATTTTTTCCTTTATCCAACAATGAAAAGATAGCTCAGTATGACACCATGGACAAAAGCCAAAAAAAAAAAATAATTAACAAGCCACAGAAAAGGAAAGTCTTCTTTTCATAAATCCTTTAACAGGTGAACATAAAATGTACCTGGCAAATATTTTATGAATGGGTAAAAAATTTACTGTTTGGAGGTCAAAAGTGTTACAACTGTGTTTTGGTGAACGTGGTAACAACAGACAAACATATTTTGAAAATATTTGTTCATTCTAAATCTTGCTGAGACATTAAATCTCTAATCCTAAAAATGTTCTTCAGGTGATAGAAGGCCAACTTTGTACCAGTCTTTCTGTGGCTCTGAAGGTTCAGGTCAGAGTTCGTCACTACCCCCAGATTTCGGGCCTCATTGCAGGTTGTTAGTAGTAAAACCTGAAGCTGTGCTTTGACTCTAGTTTGTTCCTCTTTAGGTCCAAAGATAACTTCAGATAACTTATACTACAATATAATTTTTAATTTTATATGGTCACTTTGTCATTGCAGTGATTTATACAATCTCACAAATTTCAGTAAGTGGTGAAATTTTGCACAAGATTTACAAAAAGACAATGAATCAGTGAGTGAGTGAGTGAGTGAGTGAGTGAGTGAGTGAGTGAGTGAGTGAGTGAGTGAGTGAGTGAGTGAGTGAAAATTTACCTTTCTTTCTGGTGACTTTGTAGCAAAGACAGGCATGTGACAGGCAAGCAGTGGGCAGGAAAATGGTACTATTGTTTTCCCTTCATCTTCTCCATATAACCAACCTCGGGAATTTTCCTCTCCTGAAACAAGCAAACAAACAAATTAAAGTTTTTCTCCACTCATCACACAGCCTTGGTGTTTATTTCACCAATTCATATTGCCCATATTAGCAACCGTAAACTTTCTATCTCTGTCATAAGCCGAATAAATAGTCAAACATTTTCAGATGTATGTCAACTATGTTGTTAGTATTTGAAAATAATCGCATAACTTTCTCATTGCTGGATATGTTAGCCTGCATTTTATCTACACTGAAAGAACGTCCCAAATTTTGTTTAATAATGTCTGCTCACTACAAAGTTTCATCCTCACATATACTTCGCCGCTCTACACACATTTCACCGAAGCCCCTCTTTAGTGCACATTTATCATTGTATAATTAACTCTTTTTATTTATTCATTCCACATCCCGTAAATGGCATGGAATGACATTCTGCATGAGAGTCAGAAAATTACCTGGAAGCAGGAAAATTTTTGATTTACAGCAATTCTAAGCTGTGTAGTCTACGTTAAATAAATTATTTTTAAGTACAGGTGTGATGTTCCAACAGTCTCTGAGAAACCATCCGCCAAGACACAAAACGATTTGAGGTCACATATATGAAAGGTTAGTGCATGAAGCCCTGAAACATTCTCTAGACATGTGGGCGGTCATAATCATATGCCACACAGGGTCTACATGGGTTAATTGAGGGCAAACTGCAGCAGAAGTGACACCAAGGCCAGTAGATTATTTTACCGCAGAGTAATTATCAACTTTCTTCATTAGCTTTAATAAACTTCTGTTCAGATGTACTGGCTATGTGTGTTGAGTCTGTCAGAGTACACACAAAGAGAAGCTTTGAAATAAACTCCAAATGAATATAAATAAATATTAATCTTTACTGCACTGCAAGGAGAAAGGTAAAAGTGAAATAAATTATAAACACAGACTTTAGCTGCAAAACAGTACAAGTATAAAATATGGACACCACCCACTATCTCGCAAGTGGCAGTAGGGATTTAAACATTCATTTGCAAATTCATATCTGTTTAGTTATATGTATAAGCATAAGAAATTAATCAAAAACTGCTGCTGGATTTATTTCTCGAAGAAGTATTTATCTTTAGGCATATCTGTTTCATAAAATTGCATTGTTCCACACTATGCAAGTTTAAGGTTAATGTTTTCTGGCAGCTAATTTTCCATCAACTGAACAGATACTTCATTTATTAATTTTATTTGTTGTAACAACGTAGAAACAATGCTGTGACTAATGGTTGTTGTTGGATTAATCACTGATACAGTGCATGTGCTTCTATATGTATAATTCAGTTGGCAGATATGTTATTATCCAAGCAGCCAGCCAACTTCAATGCCTCTAATTGCACAAGTCTAACTAAAAATACACACTGTGAGTTTCACTCCTTGAATGCATTAACAGATTGTCTAGTATGTCATTCTCAAGTAAAGTCTGTTTGCCAAGACTTTCATCCAGACCAGCAGCCATTAAAGAGAATATGAGGCTCGTAACAAGGTAAAAAAATCAAAAAAGACAAAAATGTTAAACTGAATGAAAGGTTGTATAGAAAGGGAAGGCTAGATACTCTTCACTCCTCACTTATAACTGAAAAACATCTTCGTTAAAGAAACAAACCAGTATCAATATTTATTTTAATTTAAGATGTAAGCAATAAATCCATGCCTACAGTAGGCACATAAAATGCAATGAAAGAAGGTCTGCATCTTTTCAGTGTTTTATATACTTCCGCACAAAATGTGAAATTTAAACTTGGTGTTTACATTATTCTGGTCAATTAGTGCAAGTGTTTCATAAATCATGATATCATGAGGATAAAAGGTTTGTGTCTTGCTTTTCAGCAGTTTTGAAAGATATGCCGTCTTAGTTGAATGACACTCTAGCATTGCATTCTTACACATTCGACACTGTAGCATACATAATTTGATCGCCAAAAAAAGCCAATCTCTAATGAACTTTTGTAAAAAAAAAAATAAAAAAATATTGAAAAATTTTTACTGTTAGACAATCAACACAGCTTCTACTCAGTTATTATTGTAATTAACCTTACTTAATCCCAAGCTACACTATGAAGACACTCTGCACTGGTAAAGATTCTTACACCTCGACATGCTGAATGCTTGAAACAAAGCAAATTGGATGCTTTGACCTCCAATCTGATTGATTTAAGTCATAATTATCTTACACTTGGGAGGCATTCAAAGCATAAAATGTACACCATGTGATGAAATGAAGGTGATACTTAAAATGAAAGAAAAAGTAACATCTAGCAAACCATAAATGTTATAAAGACCTACAACAAATATTTGCCCCCGTTTGTAATTCATGCTGGTAAAATCAAGCAATGATGGTACAAGTTTAAGTTTCACAGGAGGTGTGCGAAGAGGAATGCTTTGCTCTTTAAGAAAAGCATGAAGGGCAAGCTAAAATTTGCTAGAACGAACAAACACCAAGAAAATTACTTCTGGAATAATGGTTTTTAGACAGATGAGTTTGAAACCTAATTATTCGGATAGCAGAATACATGACAAGTTCTTTAAGCCAGAGCAATGTTATCCTATGCTAATTGTTCAACTAACTGGAGTTAACTAACCATGAAGCCCAGCAGTTTTACTCTCACAAGTATTGTGGTTTTTGCCAATATGCTCCACTTGAATTTTTATTAAAAGTCTGTTATAAACTGCTTTAGGTTTACTTTAAAGGAAATATACACAAATATTAAATACGGGAAAAAGACAATAAAAGAAAGAGAGACAGGGATGGCAATAAGTTAAAATGGATAAAGGGGTATGGGAGAGAAAGAAGGAAAAAGGGTTAGGGTTAGGCTAAATAAAACCCATAAATAGACAAAGAAGAGAGACAGTTATGAAAGTATGTTATAAAACATAACACAAAGTCTATGTGTTTTTAATACCCAGATTAAAAATTCTGATTTAAAGAACAGCAAAAAAATAAATAAATAAATGTGACTGTGCATATCTAAAATCAACAAATATACTCTGTTAAAGATGATTGTGAAAACCATTACTACAAATTCTGATTTTTGTATTTTAGTGAATGAAACAATAAATAATGTTTGGTAACTAACAATTTTGTTCTTTTTCCATACTCATCCAGACACAGAGAATAATAGAGGTAAGTCGTATATTTTTCAAGACTGAACCTTGCCGTTTAGTGAATCAACACAGTTACAGAATATAAACATTCATTAAACCGACTTCAAGATGTTATTGTAGACAGATTTGTCAAAATCAAAACTTAAGCATAATATCACCGAAAATAGTTTTTAAAATTTCCATTGTTTTGGTATCACATATGTTTTTATGTTTTTATGACTTGTTGATTTGAAGCAATAAATTTCAATTTAAAGATTCCAGAAACTAAAGCTGTAGATCTACAGACGCCCAGCATCTCTTAAAAAGGTGGTGGGAATGAACACTTACAGGGAAGACTTAGTCTCTCAGTTTTGTTATTCCAATCATGCCTTTGTTTCAAGTCTTTTGCTGATTAATTTGATTAATTTGCAGGGCATGGTGCTATATCAGCCCTGGTGACACAAAGGGCAAAGATATAGCCTAATTAAATACAGCAGCGCAATTGATATTTCTCATGGATTAATGCAAGTGTGGGATCTGTTAATTAAATCTGAGATAATGTTTACTCATCATAAACATTTCGCATGTTTGAGCACAGCGAGATACGGAGATAATCTTTGCAGTCTGACAGATTAATTTCAGAGCTAACAGAAATAATTCCAGTGAAGGAGTTTAGAGCTGACTTTCTTCTATATTTGTGCTATAGGTGTTCAAATGAACATATTTTTTATGTTCCTAATAAAGTGAACAAAATAAAAAGACAAGGTTAACACATTAGGTGTGGCTCATTTTGTTTAATAGAGACAGCATGTGAATCTGTGTGCTGATAAATTAAATCTACTTGATCACCCATGCAGCAGGTTATTTTTTATTCCTTTTCTTCATCTTCTGTTCAGTCAACATGGCATAGGCTCACAGTGGATCGAGAAGGTGTGCCAAAATGTGTGTTAGTTCCTCTAAACCACACTCCACTCATACTGATACATAAGAGAAAAAAAAAACAAAACAAAAAAAACAAGTTCTTCACTCTTAGCAATGTAACCGCAGGCAACGGCCTCCTGCTCTGTCTTTCTTCCCTAAAGCGGGACTGAGGGACTGATTGCTTGTCTCAATCATCCTTTTAGTCCTACTCCCCCTGTCACCAACCACCTCTTCCTACTCTCCACATGTTCGCGCAGACACACAAAACACATAATCATGCACACCCTCAACATCCCCCTCTCCCTGCCCTCGTTCATTCTTCTCATTCTGTCTCCTGCGCCTCAGCAACAATCTCTCATGATTTGACGGGCTCTTCTTCTTCTTGTGAGAGCCATCAAAGTCTGACGCTTTAACCCTTTCTGAAAGAGCCGACTCTGAATGGTAGAAAACAATTAATTCTGCACTGAGGAAGCCCATTAATTAGGCAATGCTTTTGGCCATTTCATGAAAACCCTTCAGAAACAGCAGGGCCACTCAGATAGACTTAAAGAATGCAGTAGCACACCAGGTTTCTAATAGACCCAGCGGGTCCTGGCAAGGAAGCACTATGGGGTAATTCTCACTTTCTATTTCAAGGCTTTATAACTACTGTGCAGGCCTTCATAAAGTGACATGTGTTGTTTACGGGAGAAGCATAACATTAGCCTTGGCTTCTATACCACATTGCGTAAATCCCCCATCCACTAACAAGGCCTGTAACAGACCTAACTAATAATACAGAACGCATAAATGCCATTAAAAGCTAACGATATTCACAGATGTGGTAGAGAGAACTCTTCCAATGAGCGATGTAGGCTATGCTTCCTCTAATTGGAGGTAACAGGATAAACACTAGTGTGGCGATGGGTCGGGAGAAAATGAGTTTCACAATATTTAATTACTCACTAAATCATGCATGATAACATTTGCCGCTTGTGTTGTCCAATATTCAGGGACATTCCAGAGCAAGACAGCCATTTCAGACTAAACAACACCATGGTTCGGTGAGTTTAAAATGCTGATTCAACTGTAGGTCTCCCTTTGAACAGAGGACAGACCTGCCTACGACTACAACGACGAGGGAGCCCCTGTGATGCTACACCATCCGTGAAATTAAATCAACAACTCCTTCATTGTAATTACCTTTGGTGGATTGGGAAGGCAAAGTGTTGGTGTAAAACAATTAACATGTAATTGTCATCCTGACCAGGTTGGTGGTGATATCGATTCCCAAGAGAGTCAATGAAACCCATCTTGCCACCCGCTTCTATTAGATTTGTTTTTATCTAAGTGATGGATAAAGCAGTAGTTCCTCAAAGGGCCAAAATGGAGGTTCATTCATAAACAACTGTGTGATTAAGGCCTACTCATTCTGAATTTTCTACTACATTAAATTAGTTTTCTCACAATTTTTTCAAACAAGAATAATGCAGTTTAATTGGTATCTGTCATGCATTAATAACATAATAAAACTGACTTTGCAAGTCATAACTATGTTACTTTGTAAAGTGAACCGATCAAAAGCTGGGAGTTAATACACTCAATCTGTCAACAATCAAAATAATAATTTTTCTAAGCTTTTTATCGATATGTCTCTGACATATCAAAGGAATCAGAACATTTATGTGTAATTCTTAGAACTAGAATATATTTAAAATCAATGTCAGCAAGAGTTTATTTGAGAATCAAATATATAAACATTGTTAAGTGTCCTCTTAAGCCTAAAGAAAATTATGTTTTAAGAGTTTAAATTTTAGATTTTAAGTTCTAGTACCGATGAGGGAGAAAATAACCTCAGAAGGGAATGATAACAAAGTTGAGACGATCAGCTTCCAGCACCAAACCTTCATGACACAATTGAAAATGAGTGCCTAAGTCTGTTGGTGAGAAATTGTTGCCCTTGCCAAATGTCATTCTTATCAAGTACAAATTCATGACTGAGCAAAAGCTAACTGGATATCTTAAAACACAATAATATTAACAGTGCAAACAATTGAAAGAAAGGACTTTGTACAATTAGGTAATTTTATCTAAATATTTGAACCCTTTCTTACACAAAGAAAACTGTGTTTTCTGCTGCCTGATTTATGCTCAGGAAATGTTGGTAAATAATTCCAGTAACCTGTGTGTTACATAATTCTGCATAATAATTACTTTATATATAAGTAATGTTTATTCACATTTAAGCAGGTGGGTAATCTATGTGATATTCAATGGACACTTGAATATTACAGAAATTAATGTGTAATGTTGTTTTTATACAATCAATGTAAAGAATTACTTGGCAAAAAAAAAAAAGTTTTTATTTTCAGTGACATGGCTGCATAGCAATGATATGCAAGTAACTTCTACTTTCAAAAAAAAAACAAAAAAAAAAACGAGAGTTTGCAAAAATGTGCCCAGCATCTGAGAAGTAGAACAACCAAGTCTCATGAGTCATGCAAAACAAAAAATATTCCAAATGTAGTTCTTTATGAATAAATAATATTATTCTGACATGGAAACATGAATTTAGCTAAACTCTCAGACATAAAGAGAACAATCCTTTAAAACAATGGCACAAATTTAGAGACATGCTGTCAGTCACTGACAGAAAAGATGGATTCCATCCCAGGCTCTCTGTGATTTTCTTGCCATAACTCTATGATGTCAGTGCATTTCACTCTACTATGCTAATGCATTTTTAATGAAATCTTGTATTTATTGTTGTTGTAGTAGAGGACAGGATTCACTTGCTCTGGCTAAATGTGTCAACCTCATATGTGTCAATGGAAAACACACACATGCAATAAAAAAAATGGTAGCAAAAGTTATCAGAAAACTCTCAAATGGATTGAGGGCCATGTTGGGAAACGACTGGTCTAGAAAAAGCACTGGAAGAACACAAGCAATAGGATTTCATGATAAATGCAGACAGCCTCTTAAAACAAAGTGAATAAATATGATAGAAAAGAGCTGCATTTACATTTTATTAGCATTTTATCCAATGTGCTGACTGGCAGTGTGTTTTCCACAACCAAAAAAATGCAATAAAGAAATAAAATTCGATCCATGTTTGTTATTCTCTGCTGAAGTGAACACCAAATAAACTTTGCTTACTGAATTAATTCAGACTCACTGAGTTGAAAGGCAAATTTTACATCATATTTTTCTTTCTTTCTTCCCATGCAAATTTGTATTTACCTTTTATGGTCTACCCCCAAAAATATTGATATAACACATGTTTCTTATTAGAGATAGATAAGGATAATTTGCTGTATCTTGCCTTGAATATCACTAGAGTGTCCACACAGCTGCCAAATGGGAGGAAGCTGCATGCAGTAACTATGCAGCTTTCCTCATCAGTACGCCTGCTGTGTTGCTGATAAAGGTGTGAGGAACAGGGAAAAGCTGGCGATGCTGCGCTTCACTGCAGCCTCAGCCTCCTCTGCTCCTCAACTGACGTCTTTGATGTCACTCTGTCAAGCGCAATTGGAGTGTCTACAGATACGCCACATGCCCCATACACCTCTATACCCCAAACTGTGACAGGTGGGCCTGCAGTACAGTCAAGGAATCTGGTGTGCGTGTTATATATTTATTGTTACATAGACCTTTCAAATACTCTTAAAACAAACCGCCAGGAAAATCTCTGCTAAGCACAAAACCTTTTAGACTTACGGTTGACCTGTTATCCCAACTAGTTTGGCACAGTCATTGAGAAGACTGGAAAGCACTTTGCTTATGAATGTAGCATGTTACTTCCTTTAAAAAAAAAATGTTTCAAACAAATTAACTGGAAAAGACGCATGCCAGGAGGATTAAATTAGATTGTATGCTGCTTTATCGTATATTTTATTCAGAGATTACTAGCTTGTCCAACAATTGTACTCAAGAGCGAGCAGTATTTCTCCAATGTATTGCTATTCATGTAGAAGTAAGACTAAACAAAAGTAGTGAGTAGTAACCGTTTGATCATAACATCTTATTTCATTCAAACGAATCATTTGAGAACACAATGTAATCAAACAGATAAAAATATAAAGCTATGTTTAAATTGTGATACTTTAGAGATTGAGAAAAAATGTCAAAACTAATATCATCATTACAAAAAAAAACAACTAATTCAGATCAAAGAACTCACTACCCACCTCTTCTCCTGCTACCAACTAAACCAGTCTAGAAAGTAAAAACAGTCAGGTAAAAGTGAAAAAAAGGATTGACACTGTAAACTACATACAAAAAGTAGATATTCAGAATAAATACAGGCATCTTTCAATAGACTTACATAGAAACTGTTTTATGTTTTTAGCAGCAAAGCTACATCCAATTTCAATATACACAACCTGCTAATAATCCAAGTAACATGTTTGGTATTAAATCAATCCTAAAAAGAAAGTATGCATATAATTAGTCTAAGATGATTAGCTGTTCTTTCATGCAATAATGCTTTCATACAGCAACTCACAACAAGCAGAAGCTCTTTAAAACTGAGAACCTCAGCTGCATGGTTAATTTATTCATTGCTGAACAAGAGAATCAAATGAGCAGAAATAAGTTTGAGAGAATTTAAATATGCATTGCTAACATATGCTAAAGCATAGTTGACATAATAAGAAGAAGGGACAGAGGGGCAAAGTACATTAAATATGCATGCAGCAATAGACAAACATACATAAATGTAGTGCTGTCTATAATACCTGTACTACATGTACCATCTGTTTGTAACAACTGGATCACAGTAAACATTAATGAACTCCTGATGAGCACGTTGTGAACTGCATGGTCAGACTTGTTTCAGCGAGGTAAAGGGTTAGAGGACAGAGGTTAGGAAGAGATAAAAAATGAAACAGGTCTTGTGGTCCCTGCTGAGACAGGTCTGGGGATATGCTTGTTGTTATTTTGCCAGTGGTGAAGGTTGACCGCTGACAGGTCTCCATAACAAAATGTTCAGAAAGGAATTTCAAAACAAGGTTCACCAGCGAACACAGTACAACTTTTTCAGTAACTTTAAATCCTTTTGTTCTTTAGTGGAATTTGGCTTCATAATAAGTTTTTTTTTTTCTATTTAAAAAATTCCACATGGAGAATTGGAAAATAAATAATTAATAATGTTATCTATGTTTTAGTTTTCCTCAGTACATAACCTTTCAGTGACCTAGTTAGTAAGGTTTTTATTTTATCCCTGATTACATAAATTGCAACAGCAGTTGTGCATTTCACTAACATGGTGTGAAGAAAACAGTGATAATGTATCCAAGCATTTGTTGAACACACTGTCGGTGCTTTCATTGCATTGCATCATCCTATTTAAGAAGAAATGACACAGTGATCTTCTTGGTGAGTGTGTTGATGTGGATGTGTGTGTGTGTGTGTGTGTGTGTGAGTCTGTAAGTATCTCATGTGTGCTTACTTAGTGCAATCTTGGCCAAGTGCAGTCGGTTGACCCAGGAGATCTTACTAAGAGGGTTGGGGGTGTTGAAGACCACCATGAAACTAACTGGACGGCCAGACCTAAAGAAAAAACACACATGCACAGACAAACACAGACAAATAGATCAATATACAAAAACAGTTACAATGGGTTAACTTATGTTGAATTCTATATATACTTTATTTCAAGGTTTACCTTTACCAAAATCAGAAAAGTACAGAATTAGATCTTGATATGACTTTAATAAGCTAAATCCAAAGACAACGAATCAGAGAAAAGAAGACTTGAGTGGAGCAGACAGTGTTTCATTTCATGGAAATTTAAGTTTAATACAGTAAGATTTTATGTGAGAGCAGCTTTTTCCTTGAAGAACTACAGTCATTCACCTCAGTGTACAGGCGCACTATGCTTTCAGCCTCCACATAAATATTCAAAGCATGCTCTGATGATCGCATAGCCTGGTCACAGTAAATCGCTTATAGGTGGGCACAAGCACTCAAAGAAGGAAAAAAAAAAAAAAAGCCACTAATGTGTGGGCTTTGCTGGCACAACCAGTGGCAGGCTCTGATCAGTTACAGCCTTTTGGAGCCAAATCAAGCTTTGGCACAGTTGGAGACCAGAGCTCAGATGTGTGAAAGAAAGAACAAAAGCAGAACTAAAGAATTTCAAAATGATAGAGACTCCACAACTAATGAAGTCTTTGAAATGAACCTCACCAAAGCACATTTACATACATTTACAATTAAATGTGATTGTTATACCTAGAAAGTCATTTTGCTCAAATCTTTTGAATTGGGATTTTCTTAAGCAAAAGTTACTTTTAACCTTACAGAGACTTTCACAGAGTTTAAACAAAAGACAAGAGCATAAACACTGAAAACATAATTGGGAATGAATGAGTTTATTGTCCTGTGATACGATACATGAATAAATAAACATTTACTGTGAAACTGGGTCACTATTGGAATCCATTACACATTTTCTGAATTAAAAATAACTGCATTTTCCAACCCTCACAAGAGGTTGAAGCCAGAGTGGAGGAGACTGAATCCTAATAAAACACGTAGGGTTCAATCTTTTTTCAACTCAATGTCAACGTGTCCTTGAGGATGAATCAAAACATCCCTACTACGCATTCTCAAATAATTAGTGAGTTGTCCAAAATTTAAAAATTATTCAAATGACACAGATTGCAATTATATGAAAGATGGACAATTTAATGTTTTAGGAGAAGAACAAACATTATGTAATGCTTTAAAACAAGCAACAAAAATCTCAGATAAAGGTGTGGGTGATATGTTCGTGTATCCCATTTGCCATATTTTGATTAAGGTGCCTTTCAAGCTTGTAGGCAGTGAGAATTTGATATTCAGAACACATTGGTTTAAGGAATGATTACACACCATCTTGATAAATCTTGATCTAATATAGTCATTGATTTTATTTGAGAAAAAGTTTTAAATTTACTGAAGAAATTCATATTGTGTCATACACAATTTAAATTTGTATTGTTCACAGCCATTCACCATTGTTAAATGTTTTGTTTTTTTTAAATAGCCCTTTGTTTTTGCATAACTTTACATTTGTTTGCTCAGGGCCTTTTAGCATACCAAAACCCTACATTAGTAAAACTATTTGAATTTTGCCCCAGTCACTGTAAGGTAATTTAGATGTGAAATATGTGGTAAACAAATACATTTATTTAAAAAAAAGGGATGCTAATATGGTTTTGCTTTGCAGCTACAAAACAAAAGAAATGATACAATGAAGACAAATGAGCCATAGAAAAACAGCAGGTTATTCATATCTGAATCTGAACAAGGTGTCAAACAATGACTTGCAACTCAAACTACCCAACTACAGCAGCAGAGAGCAGGTGAAGGGTGATCTTCACAGATCCACTCTGAAGTCTAACTATCCATTGGCCGTCAGCAAGAAAATGTAATTATATCAGTAGCAAAATGGCTGGAAAATTATAATTAGTGTTTAGGTGTTGTTAATGTCTTCAAATAAAACATTAAGCTCTTGATATTTTCAAATTTCCTCCCAACTTTAAACATTTTTCTAACTCCAAAAGGCCTTCTGGGAGAAAACCTGGAACACACAGTTATGAATGTCAGCATATGTTGATTCTAAGAAAAGTAATACAAATATCTACAAACTTTACTCTTTTATCTATGCATATTACTCTCACAAATAACAGAAAGGATGTTGACACAACTTTGTGTGTTTTGGGAGCAGTGATGGTTGTTTCTTCTTACAACTGCTGGTTGTAAGGACCATGATGCTCCTTTGTGCATTTAAAATAGAACAGGTCATTCGTTCTGCAATAGCGTAATGCAAGGGGTTAGAAAATTTTTAAAAAACTTTCTTTAATGTGTCAGTCATTATAATTATAATAATTATTATTATTAATAGTAATTTATATAATAATAATTTATAATAATTAATAGTAAATAGAGTAATTTCTATATATATATATATATATATATATATATATATTCACAACTATTAAGAACTATGGAACTGTTTTTTTACTATTTCTCTATCTCACCTTCTCACTCAAAAAATACTCAAAGGGTTAAAATAGAGAGTATTACCTTAAATAGTGTATAATAAACTTACTACCTTCATATCAGAATAATTGATTTTCTTTATTTCTTCTAATTGTTCACTTTCACAGGCTTTATTACCAGGCTGTAGTGAGACATCTTGCTTAATTTTTTGTTGGTGAGTCACCAATCAATCAATCAATCAATCAATCAATCAATCAATCAAATTTTATTTGTATAGCACATCTCAGCAGCAAGGCATTTCAAGGTGCTTTACATAATTAAAGAAAAAAAAATAAGAACAGCATGTGACATTGAATAAACAGTAAGAAAGAAAAAGAGATTTTGAAAAAAAAGAAAAAGATTAAAAAAAGATTTAAAAAAGATAAAAACATATTTTTGTTACAGAATTTAACCGCCTGTCGTCGCCGGACTCCGGCATCCGTTTAACACGGGTATTATCCAGGCCCCGTTGCCTGACAGGACGGAATTTGCAGATTTTTAGTCAAAACGCCACTTAACAAGGATTCTCACACCTCAGAGTTTTCTGACACCAGTTACTACTAGCTCCTTGATTTTCACTACATTGATCTGGAGGTGGTTCTACTGGAACCAGTCCACATATCCTGTGTCCACTCTGCACTGCAAATCATCCTCACTATGAACTATGGCATAATCATCTGAAGATGGTGAGTCTGTAGTATTGGGGGTAGAACTCTGCGAGGACCCACTCTGCAAACCAACATATTGAACACACTGTTCTGCACCCTCGTACTTTGGGACACCAGTGAGGCAGCTTAGCATCCACTGACACAGATTATGTTTCATTCTTTAGGAAAATGTACCTGTTTTTCAGTGCAGGAGAGGCATCATCCACTCCATTGTCAGACTGGCAGACAAACTGGTGGATGTTTTTGCTGTGATACCACAAAGAAGGTCTTTCATAGCTCCAGGCTCATATTACACTTGTGTTCCATAATGCCACAAAGTTGGTCTGTACAGCACCTCAGGACACTATGCATTTTCCATCTGGACCTGCAGCTTCTCACACCTTGATCTTTACAGCTTGTACCTCATACATAGAGCTGAGAGGGAGCGGTTGTGGAGTGGGGCTCTGTGTTTTGGAGATGTAGCGTTTGAAGCAGAGAGAGTGGTGGGTGACTAAGAGCTGGAAGGTGTGAAAGGTAAAGCAGACAGATACTGAAAAGGCAGGGATGGCTGGACTGGAGGATGGGTAGTTTTCTGATTAAACCCTTTGAAGAACTGATTCAGATCATTCACCCATCTTTCATAACACATGGACATAGAGTTGGTTTGGTATGAAATCAATTTCTGGCTCAACTAATCCCCATTCATTGCTTCATCCTAACAACTACTAGCATTGTCCCCTTACCAGTGCAACCTTGGTAGCTAAGTGTCCAGAGTGTCCCCATCTGTCTTACACAAACACAGCAAAAGTTCCTCTCCGTCATTGTGTTGACCCAAAGAAATGAAAACATCCATAGTTAAGAGTCTCTCTGTGATGAGCATGGTTCGCCACGTTTCGGTCAGAATCTAGCTGATTTCCCAGCAGTTCCTCTGATGACAGGTAAGCGCCACTAGATCAACCAGCATGTTTCACACTTCCCATGACGAACGGAATAACAGGCCTGAACCTTCTTCCCCTGCTGAAACACCCAGAGTCAGCATGGGTCCCGTGTCTCTTTATCTTCAGCTCGTGGGTAATATCGAAGGCTTGTGGGGAAACGGCACAGCTGCGGCACAGAAAGCTAACAGCTGATCCCTGGTATGAACAATGTAGCTGTTCTTGTGGCCCTCTGAATACAATGCAGCTGAGAGAAAAATGAAACACAAGATTGTCCAAAAAACCATCCGCTCCATTGTGGGTCCAAACAAAGGTGGAGAGAAAGAAACGTGCATAAATATGGGAGCTGTTTTAGAGACTGCTGGCTCAAGGTACAACATAATAATATTTAAAAAAGACCCAAACAAATCAGACTGGAAATGGAGACACATGTAGATGTATCTAAATACAACAGAATATCATTAGAATTATTATTATTACTTTTTAAAGAAATTAACTTTTAGAGCATTAATGTTATTTAATTTCTATGTTATGGCCTGCATTCACATATGGACTTCAGAAGTAAGCTCTGTATTACTGCCCTATAGCCGCCAAGATCTGTTGGCATTTTCTCACTGAAAGGAGCGTAAGCCACAAAAAACCATATAAATTAATGAAGCTTCCTGTTCACATAAAAATATTAATCTAAAGTTGAGTTTCAGGAATAAAATACATATTTTCAGCAATGGCTTAAGATTATGAAGAAAACCCCATTAAAAAGTTTGGGAGAAATTAACAAGAAATTAACAAGAAGTGACTACTGTCAGACATCAAAGCAGCCAGGTTGAGTGGGCACATGGCTCATTACCCGACTGGAACCCAGAACGGAATTGGCAGGAACACCAGAGGTGTCCATCACCTCCAGGGCAGTCACTCAACATAGTAAGAACAGAAATTCTACCAA